CTGGAATGTGGGAATGGGGGATATGGGGTGCGGGAATAGGGACTGGGAAAATAGGGCCTGTGGGGCTGGGGGATGTGGGAATATGGGCCATGGAATGCGGGGATACGGGCTCTGAGGTATGGGAATATAAGGTGTGAAATGTGGGAATACAACCTGGAGGATACAGGAATATGGACTGGGAAAATATGGGCTGGGGGATGTAGGAATATGGGCAGTGGGAATACGGGGTGTGGGGTGTGGGAATGTGAGCTGTTGGATGTGGGAATATGGGCCCTGGGATGTGGGAATCCCGGCTGTGGTGCTGAGGAACACCCAGGACACTTCCAGCTTGAGTCCTGCCTGGAAAACCCCCAATCCAGGGGGATCCAAACTCCAGGGGGAGTAAATGGGGATCACTGAGGGCTCCCAGTTCTGTAAAATTCCAGTGTGTGCTATTCCAGGGGGTTCTGTGGCCTCGGTCCTGGGACATGGGTTGTGTTACCGGGATAATCCTGGAATGCTTTGAGTGGGAAGGGACCTCAAAGCCCATCCAGTGCCACGGGCAGCAACACCTTCCCTATTCCCAGGCTGCTCCAATCCCTGGGTATCCCCATGGAAGAGTTTGGAGGGGCTGCCCCTGCTCAGCTCTGGGGTGCCTGTGCTCCATCCCGGTGTTTTCCATGGATTTGTGTCTCAGTGAGGCCTCAGGGATCACAGATCCCGCCTAGAGGCTCTCCCAGGCTCAGGATGTTCCTTGGAATGTTGTCCTGGTCCTTAATTTCCCACTGGGAGCTCCAGGGCTGTCCGACCAAGCCTTGGAACTTCCATCTGGGAGAACGGGAGTTTTCCAGGTGCCTCTGGAATGTGCAGAGTGATTCCACCTGTTTGTGGGAAGGACCCAGGTGAGGTTGTGGCTGCTGGAACAGGTGGATTGGTTTGTTTGGGAGCTCTGGGAATTTTGTGTGGGATCAGTGAGTCCTGAATGGGATTTAATTCCAAGACATGTCCTGTATGTGGGTTTTTTTGGAATTCATACCCTCTGGAACAGCAGGAAGGGGAGAAAACCTGATGATCCTCCTGCCAGGGAGGGGGAAAATTCCAGTAATATCAATTTTTCCTGCCAGGGAAGGGGAGAATCCAAATAATACCAATTCTGGGAAGAGCTGAGTGAGGGCTGGGAGGAGGAGAACATTCCAGGATTGGCTGGACTCAGCTCCTTCCAGGGCACAGACCTGTGGAAAACAGGGAGAAATCCCATAATTAGTGGGATTTTTGGCCCTCTCTTGTCCCAGGAAGTCAGGAAGACACAAATAGGATGAGTTTATGCTGCAGTTCCTGAGGCATTTGAGCTTCCAAGTGCTGCCCATCCCAAAAAACCTCAGGAGGATCCAGGATAGTGGGATTATCATTCCAATTTTTGGCTAAAAATCTTCCTGTTGCACTTTCCCAGGCAGGGGAAGAGGCTCATTTTCCACCCAGGAATGTGCCATTCCAACTCTACCTGTTGGGATCGGGGATCCCAAAAATGTGGGATTTTTCAATGGATTTTATGATTTTCCCATCAGGAATTGGAGCTCTTTGGCGTTTCCCAGGAGCCACAGGAGCTGCCAGTGGTTCCAAGTTCTCCTGGATAAAACTCTCCAGGGATTAAAAAGAAGGGATTTTAAGGCCATTTTGTACTTCCCAACTCGGCCAGTTGGAAAAAGGCTGAACAATATTTCATGGATCCACGTCCTGCTGGGGTTTTTTTTGGAAAAGTTGGGAAATGGGGCTGAAATCCTGCCCTTTGTGCTTTATTTTCCCCCGGTGCTCCTTGGAATACAGTTGGGAAATGATAAATAAAGTCAAGGTCAGAGGAATTTTGCTGATCCGGGTGTTTTTTGGACCGTTTCACAAACTTCCATGATTATTTTGGCTTCCCAGCTCCTGGAGTGGCTTCATGCTCTCCCAAGGAAGGGAGACTTGATTTCACAGGGAATAATTTAAGCGTTTTTGGGTGGCAGCTTCAGGAAAACAGGGAAAAATGTGGGAAAAATACCCCCAAGTACCATTTTAGGGCTGTGATCCCACGGGAGCAGGAGCAGGGGATCCTCCAGCTGCTGCTTTGGGGGCTTTTTCCCTCATTTTTGGTGGATTTTTCCGGGTTTTCCCTGTTCCCGGCACATAGCCCTTCAGGTGGTGCCTCCTTTAATTTTCCATGGGCTAATCATGGAATCCTGGAATGCTTTGGGCTGGAAGGACCTTAATGATGATCCAGTTCCATGGGCAGGGAAACTTCCACTGGAAACAAGAGGGTTTGCTTCAGGAAAACAGGGAAAATATTGGGAAAGAAACCCCAAAATACCATTTTTGGACTGTGATTCCCCCTGGAGAAGGAGCGGGGGATCATGGAATCCTGGAATGCTTCGGGTTGGAAGGACCTTAAAGATGATCCAATTCCATGGGCAGGGACACCTCCCACTGCCTCCCTTTGGAATATTTTTTAAAAGTATCCCAGAAATCCTGGCTGGAGCTGCTCCGTTGGTGTCACACGGCCCCAGGAGGGCCCTGGAATGGCTGGAGGCCCAGGAAAAGGGGAAGCTGGAGCTGGCAGGAATTCTCTGTAGGACAAGTGTCCCCAGTTAATTCCTCTCCCATTTTTGGTCCTGAACTCCCAGTTTTCTGGCAAGAAAATGAGTTGTGACTGGTGCACATCCTGCAGGAAATTAGATTTTCCTTCAGGAAAATAGGGAAAATGTGGGAAAAATACCCCAAACCACCATCTTAGGGCTCTGATCCCACTGGAGCAGGAGCAGGGGATCCTCAAAGTGCCGCTTTGGGGCTTTTTCCCTCATTTTTGGTGGATTTCTCCTGGTTTTGCTGTTCCGGATCTCGGTTCCTTGGGAAAGGGAATAATGAGCTGGATTTCTCTGAGGTTCCAATAAATTGGCTCTGTTCTGGACTTTTAATTGAGCTGGAAGATGAAAAGGAATCTTCTCGTTGGAGTTTCTTTAACGGGTTCTTTGGGTCTTTGAGGTTTAATGATGGAATTTTCCCGTCGGAGCCGCAGTCGGAACTTCCCGAGCCGGTTCCTGCCGGATTCAAAGGGAGTTGACTCATCCCTGAGCTTTGTGAGCAGCCCTGAGGTGGCAGAGGATGTTCCCCTTTCTCAGTGTTGCCATTTTGGGATTTTTCCCATGCTCCTGAGCAAAATTTGGGAATTAAAGCGATGAGCAAACCCGGAAAACTTAGCGGTGATCCCGCAGAATTTCCTCCCAGACCACAGGAAACTGGGTTTGAAATGGGAATGTTGAGGTGGGAATATTGGAGGGGATAAAATGCATGGGAATGAGATCCTTGGAAAGAAAACTCCCTGCTAATTCCAAAGGAAAGGAGCTTTTCCCTGGTGTCTCCTCCCAAGTCTGGCACCTTTTCTTCCCCCCCTCGTTTGTATTGTTTGTGTTTTTGGAGTTAAACTTCAGCTGATTTGGGAAATTTTGGGTTAAGAAGGCAGAATATGGCAGCGAAGAGTTTTAAAAATCAGGAATTGTGCACGTGGTTTCATAGAATCCTGGAATCCTGGAATGGTTTGGGTTGGAAGGGACCTTAAAGCTCGTCTTGTTCCAACCTTCCACTATCCCAGGTTGCTCCAAGCCCTGTCCAGCATGGCCTGGAACACTTCCAGGGATGGGATGTTTGGACTGGGATTGAGGGATTGGATCAAGAAGCAAAGTGTTGGATGAGGCTCACCTGATCCCAGGGTTTCCATGCCTGGTAGGATCCAATGATTCCATTTGGGATGTCCCTGGAGAAGGGGCTGGGGAGGTGCCACAGCACCGGCTCTGGTTCAGGGGGGTGGTTCCCTGTGTTTCCTGGGATTTGGGGCTCATCCAGAGTCTCCCAAACACCAGGGAAGGAGGGGAGGGGAGGGGAGGGAGCATGGAATGACCTTGATTTGGTGGGAGAGCTCTGGACCTTCTGTGGTGGGACAAGGAAGGTCCTTGTCCCTTGCCTTTGGAAGTGGCTCCATTCAGGCTCAGTGTCCGTCCTTGTCTTGCCACGGAAATCAAAGTCTCTTCCATGTGTTCTGTAGGGTTTTCCACGCGTTCTGTAGGGTTTCCCATGTTTTCTGTATAGTTTTCCCTGTTTTCTGGAGGGTTCTCCATGGTTTTTGTGGGTTCAGTCCAGGCTGTGTCTCTGAGGGATCTCGGGAATGTCCCCAAGCTCCGGGAATGGGGCTCAGGGCAAATCCCTGCTCTGGAACTGAACTTCCAGAACATCCAGTGTGTCCAAATGTGCTGGGATCGGCGGGATTGGAGGAATTCTTGAGGAAACCTCTGGAGACACCTGGACCTTCCTTCTGGGAGGTTGTGGAGCTCTCCCTGAGGAGTTTGGAGGCAGCTGAGCCTCCATGAAACCCCAGCCTGTGTCATGCCTTCCCACTTCCATTGGCACGGGGGGTTATTCCAGAGCTCGGATGCAGCGAATCCTTGGTGGCCGAGCAAAGTAGGTCAGTTCTTTGGGAATGCTGTGATTAATTTATAAATGCCATTTTTTTCCTGGAGGAGATGTAGATCCAGGTGGATCCCAGTGCTCCTTGTGCCACAGCAAAGTGGTGCTTCCCGGGAAAAGAAGAGGAGACAGGAGGGAGGGAAGGGATTATTTTTAAGCCCTTCTGGAGCTTTTCCTTGAACACAAAATGGTTTGTTTTTTTCCTTGAACATGAAATGGGTTTAGAAGAGCAAATCCTGCCTGGAATGTAACGATTCCAAAGCCTTGGCAGATGGGGAATTTGTTTCCAAACACCAAGTGTTGGAGCTGTTTGAAGCCTGGTTTTTAAGGATGAGCAGCACTCGGGAATGTTCACATGAAGCCTCCCCAGAACTGGAGGTTTAAAGGAACAGTTTCATCAGGAAAAGGGAGGAATGAGGGGGAAAATAACACTTTCTTATTTGGGGAAAATGGCAAGAATAACACCTGGAGAATTTCTTTGGATTATATGGAAAATAATGGGGGGAGAAAGGAGAGTCACTCCTGGGCTGGTGTTCACTGAGGGGGGATGGGGAAGGATGTGGAGCTGCTGGAGCAATTCCAGAGGAGGCCACGGGGATGGTCCAAGGGCTGGAGCCCCTCTGCTCTGGAGCCAGGCTGGGAGAGCTGGGAATGTCCAGCTTGGAGAAAGGAAGGCTCCAGGGAGACGTGAGAGCCCCTTCCAGTGCCTAAAGGGGCTCCAGGAGAGCTGGAGAGGGACTGGGGACAAGGGATGGAGGGACAGGACACAGGGAATGGCTTCCCACTGCCAGAGGGCAGGGTTAGATGGGATATTGGGAAGGAATTCCTGGCTCTGAGGGAGGGGAGGTGCTGGAATGGAATTCCCAAAGAAACTGTGGCTGCCCCTGGATCCCTGGAAGTGTCCAAGGCCAGGTTGGAGCAACCTGGGATAGTGGAAGGTGTCCCTGCCCATGGCAGGGAGTGGCACTGGATGGGCTTTAAGGTCCCTTCCAACCCAAACATTCCAAGATTCCATGATTTGGCAGGGAATTCCCTCACCTTTGCCAGGCAGTCCCAAAAGCTTTGGAACGCTTGTTGGTGGGATTGGGATCAGCTCCTTGCTGAGAGCTGGGAAAGGACAGCCGGGAGTTCAAGATGTGCTTTGGGATTTAAACTCCCAAAATTTGGATTTAACGTGTGCCAGGTGCTTCCCTGGAGTGTCCTGGATCTTATTGCCACGAGATGTTCCAAGAAGGAACATTTTTATCCCTGGAGGGGCAGTTTATTCCCACTCTGGACAGGATTTTTTTTGTCCCTCTTGGTGTAACTCGGGAAAAATGGGTCCTGATCCACATCCAGTCCTTAAACCCTCATTTAATCCTTGAACTGCAGCAAAAGGCAAATATTGGGGGGCCTTATTTCTTGGAATGTTCCACTGGAAAAGGTGGATTTATTGTTACATTTCAGCTGAGCGGGGCTGGGAATGGCAGGGAAAAGCAGCAGGGAATGTTTTAGGTCAGACAGAGGCTTTGCCAGTTCTGGGCTTTCTTGGAAAGGCAACTCTTGGATCAGGGTCCAGGAACAGCCCGAGTTCCTTGGGATTCACAGGCTGTAAAATTTATGGAATAATAAATATGCAAATGGGCTGCTGCCAGTGTGGAATTGGGACAGGGATCTGGGCTGGCTCACAATTCCCTCTCTTCCAGGAGGGAGCTTTAGCAGCTTCCCACCTTTTGAAGGATCTGATTCTCAAGTCTTTTCCCCAAATACCTTTTTTTAACCTCTTAAAAAAAAGGCTGGAAAAAGGGAAACTTTGGGATCATTTGGTTTGAATTTTTAAAGGGTTTAGTGATGCTGCATTTCCCTGGCACAAAATTCCATGTGTGTTTTTAAGGGAACAGTGTCAGGAGCCCACAGTTGGATCTATTTAGTGCTGGAAAACTAAATATTCAAGCCCTGAAGTGCCAAGTTTTCCCTCTCCATGTTCTCACAGCTCCCAGGATTTTTGGATTTCCAGGCTCCCACCCATCCCAGATTCTCCTTGGGCCTTAAATCCACTTGTTTGATCCCCAAAACCTGTTTTGTAGGTGTTTTTAACTGATTTCAATGAGAAATAGAACTGTCAATCCCCCCTTTTCATAGTGTGGGAGCAGCTGGGTTTTCCCTGCCTTGGATTCTCCTCCAGGATTTTTCCAGTCCCAGGTGCACCCACAGCTCATGGATTTGCTTGGATATGGATGCTGGACTTAATCCTTGCTGTCACAGCTACTTTAAAATGCCCTTTTGTAACATTCCAGTGAAACATTTTGTGCTCCAGGAGAACCATTAACCCGGAAAATCCCTTTTTTTCCCCTCATTAAACCCGACTCAGACTGGTCCTACTGGTTTCCACTGGAGCAAAGATTGATTATCCTTGGGATACACTGAATTTTAATACACACAGGACTCCCAAAGAGCTTGGCAGGGAATTCCAAATTTTACTGCTGCTTCTCCACGATTTTCCCAGGGAATTCCAATTAAATCCAAGAAGATTTTTAATTTTCTTGGCAAAATATTGCAGCCTAAAAGATCTCCAAGGGATCCATCCCTTGGCCTGACTCTGTGCCCTTGTGTGCCCTCCTTCCAGCTGCTCTGACTGACAGTTGTGCACATTCCCCTGGAACAGCTTCCCAAACTGGAAACACCCCCAGGCTTGGCACTGAGGTCCTTTATTCCCTGTTTTTTTGCAGGTTTATTCTCTGGTTTTTTTGCAGGTTTATTCCCTGTTTTTTTGCAGGTTTATTCCCTGGTTTTTTGCAGGTTTATTCCCTGGTTTTTTGCGGGTTTATTCCCTGGTTTTTTGTGGGTTTATTCCGTTTTTTTGCGGGTTTATTCCCTGGGGTTTTTGCAGGTTTATTCCCTGTTTTTTTGCAGGTTTATTCCCTGTTTTTTTGCAGGTTTATTCCCTGTTTTTTTGTAGGTTTATTCCCTGTTTTTTTGCTGTCAGAGCAAATTCCCCCCGTGGGATCCCAGGGAAAGTGTCCCAGCCCATGGAATGGGACGGGCTCAAGGTCCCTTCCCGCCCAAACCATTCCAGGATTCCCTGACCTTGGAGATGGCGGCTGTGTCTGGAGCAGAGCCTGGAACTAGCTTTTGGATGGAATTGTGGTTGGGATTTTCTGGGGATGAAAGGCCCAAAGCCCGTTTTTCCAGGTTCAGGGAGGTGTTGGTGGAGCCATCCCAGCCCTGCCCTGTGGGATCATCCCTCAGCATTCCCAGCATTCCCAGCATTCCCTCTGCTCCTGCCAGGCTGGGCTGTGCTGGGTGCAGGGCAAACCCCTCCCCTTGGGCTCCATGTGCTCTTGGAATCATTTCCCTTGGGATATGCCCCAAAAAGCTCTCATTCCATGGGTTTGCATTGGATGGGGAGCAGAGCCTCTGGCACCACATTCCCACTGCAGGGATTGCTTGGAAGGGCTCATGATTCCAACCAGGATGGCAAATGAGGTGGGAATGTCCCCTCTGGGAGCTTTGCCAGCAGCCCAAACGTCATCCAAAATGGGAAAAGCTTGGATTTTTATGGGAATGTCTCTGCAGGGAGCACCTAAAACTTTGGACCAACCTGGAATTCCTCTCTTTTCCAGCCTTACCCTGCTCCTGGAAAGGCTGTGCCTCCCCAGGCAGCTCCAAAGAGTCCTTTTTTAATCAAAAATTCAATTTAAGAGTCAAAAATTAATTTAAAAAGGGAAAACTCGTTGCAACCCTCCGGTGTTTTAATGATTTTTTTAGGATCCTTTATTCCCACGGGGTTTTATAAAGGATGACCCTGTATCCAGACAGAGGATTCCGTGTTCCATGGGGAATTTGGGATGGGTTGGGTAAGTTCTGGCTGCTGGGCTGTTGGTTTGGGGGATTTGGAACCCACCACGTGCCTGCGGCTCACGTGGATTCCATCCTGGGAATTCCAGCCAAGGCTCCTCATCCCCCAGGACAGGGATTTAATGGCTTGGGAAGTTCAGAACTAGAACAGAATCGACCCAAAGTGAAGTTTGGGGGAGTTGGGGAAGGTCAGAGTGGAGCAGGTGGGGCTTGAGAGGAAAAATGTGTCCCAAATCCCTCTTTGAATGATCTGTTCCTAAAATCCCGGGATAAATGGGTGGGAATTTTCCCCTCAGCCTGCAAGGCGCTGAGTTGTTCCCAAGGTGCCTCCTGAGGAAGCAGGAGCATTCCAGCCTGGATCTGGGCTCTCTGGGTAGGGAAGAGCAGCTCTGCACCCTCCCAGCTGCCCTGAGGCCTCTTCTCCTGCCCTTTCCCTCCTCATTCCCTGGGGAGCTGCTCCAAGCTCTCCATCCCTCTCCTGGAGCTTTCTCCAGGGATTCCTGGGCTGTTGGATCCATCCCTGGCGGAGCTCCCAGGATGAGCTGTTTGCTGAGCTCCTTGGCTGCTCCAGGCTCAGCCTCCAGGCCATTCCTGGCTGCAATTCCAGGCTCTGCAGCTGTTCTTTCCGGGAGCCAGGAGCAGGAAGGATCCACACTTGGCTCCTTGGCTTTCCCAGCTGTCCCAGGGATGTTCTCCACTGACCTGTTGGAGCCACCAGCATAGTCCTTCCCATCTGGGACCCTTCCCAGCTCCTGGTGACCAGGAATTCTCCCAATATTTCAGCCAGGAATTCTCCTCTGTGAAAACCCAGGGATTATTTCCCCTTTTTCTGCCGAAAACCAGGAGGAATGTGCAAATCCAGGTGGGACTTGTGCCTCCAGTCAAACATCCCAAGTGCTGATGGTTGCTTCCAAAAGTTGGCAGTGGATCCAAGGGAAGGGATTGGAGTGGGAAGAGCCTTCCAGAAGGTTCCTTTTGGGAAGGAACTGGATTTGGGGTTTTTGGGGCTGCTTGAAATGGTGCCAGGGAAAGTTTGGGGCCCTCAGGAGGGTTGAGTTGGAGAGAGGAGCTGAGGAATGTGAAAAAGAGCAGATTCACTCCCAAATATTCCCAAAAAATAAGGGAGGGATTAAAAGGAAGAAACAGAGGGAATGTTCAGCCACGGTGTGGGGACACGTGGCACCATCCACTGGGGGTGTGGGGCTGGCTGGGATGAATTTTCGGGAGGAATTCCCACATGGAAAGGGTGGTTGAACTTTGGAATGGGCTCCAGGGAGGTGCTGGAGTCCCTGGAGGTGTCCATGGAATGCCTGGATGTGGCACTCGGTGCTCTGGGCTGCTTGGGATGGTGGTGGGTGACCTTGGAGGGCTTCTCTGGGAAAATATTCCCTGATTCCTCCTTCAAAAACTGGGATTTCTGCTCTGGAAGCTCCAGATGGGGTCCAAGGGAGAGGGATGAGCTCCTGATTAATAGAATTGAACATCCGGAGGGAGCCAGGGAAGGAGTTTCTGCTCCATGTGCTGGGAATGCCTTGGAAAATCCAGGTGGGGCTTGTGCTCCTGCAGGAAAATCCATATGGAACCATGGCAGTGGGATCTGGGCTTTGTCTTCTCGGCTTTCTGAGGGAATGCCAAGAAAAGGAGGATTTTGTTGCTTATTTCTTATTTTTTGCAAGCTGCCAATTCCTGGGGCAGAGGCTCTAAAAATGCCAAAGGAACCTGGGAATTCTCAGCATTCTGAGGAGAAATGTGTCAGAAAGCTCCTGCCAGGTCCATCCCGGCCCTGGAAGGGAATCTGAATCCTTGGAGCTGCTTTGGTTGTTAAATGGAGCCTCCAGCAGGAGGATTAGAGGGAAAAATCCCAAATAAATTTGGTTTATGGGGCTAATTCCAGGAGAAAATTCCAAAGGAGTTTTCAGAGGTCCAAATGGGTGTTGGATAACGGATGAATGGGATTCAAGTGGCTGGATAAACCCCCTCTGGCGGGATCCAGTTTGCTCAGAGACGTGGAGAATCCTTGGAAAACAAAGCCTGTTCTTCCAGAGAAACTCCATCAGAGGAGTTTTTGTTGGATTGGAGGTTGGGAATGTGAGGGAAGGATGCAGGGAGTTAATAAGGGAGTGATTATCCCGAGTTTGGGAAGGGCAGAGCCCGTTGAAAGGCTGGGTTAGGAGTTAATTCCATGGGATTGAGGCGGTGCTGGGTCCTGATTCCCAGGTAATCCATGGATCACGTGTGGGCAGGGGGGTGGTTCCTTTTTTAAGGAATGTTCAGCCACATAAAAAAAAAAGGGAATAAATAATCTGAAAAGCTCCAGGGGGTTTGTTCCTGTTGGATTTGAGCAGGGAAAAGCAACAGCAATAAAAGAACTGGGAAAAACCTCTGGAAATATTTTGGGGCTGGACCAGACTACCAATAAATGTGGAATTTGGGGAGTTAAATCTCCTCTGGAGCTCAGTGAATAATTCCAGAGCCGTGGAATTGAGGGAGTTAAATCTCCTCTGGAACTCAGTTTGTAACTCCAGAGCCATGGAATTGAGGGAGTTAAATCTCCTCTTTACTCAGTTTGTAATTCCAGAGCCATGGAATTGAGGGAGTTAAATCTC